GGGAAATAGGGGTTCTATAGGGATATCTAGGACTATGGGTACCGTCTTTGCCGTCACTATAAAAAGGATTTCAGGACAATTTGGGACAAACATTTGGGTGGGGTCACCCTATTTATCGAACCTACAAGTACAAGTCAGTTGCTCAGCAAATATGAAGTAACCCTACCCCATGCTTCGCGGCGCTGCTGACAAGATCCCGCCGCTTGACCCTCACGCAGTCTTTGAACATGCGCAGAACCTAGTGTGCCTACATACTCAGCCCGGTAGGATCCCGCGAAAGAAGATGGAGCGGAGGTTTAGAAACCAAGCCCCTCAACCAAATCGACATGTGGGAAACTGAAAGCGTTGAAAACTCTAAGCCCTAAACCCTTGGCTGCTCAAGAACGTTGCCCTTTTAACTAGCGGCCGTCTCGCATGCAAACTTACAATCTGCATTACTTTGAAGAGTTTGGGGATTTGGGGAGTAACATGGTACAAGCATTTTTTTTGCACTCTTGAAAGGTCACGGGTAGTTATACTGTAAGTGTCCCTATACGTGCTTTTCCGGAAGCATTGCTTGCCACATGGAGAAGGGTACACTCTATAAGGTTCAAAGTTCAAAGTTTCGGGTTCAGGGTTTAGGGTAGGGTACTGCTGTACCTTATGGCAGATACAATTGCAGTTACCTCTCTGAACCGGAAAGCATAAACGACCTAAACTCTACAAGACACCAATCCTAAAACTGAACCCTAAAATTTGTTCCGTGAACTGCCTGAACCCCTCTCCCCGCGCCCTGATCAAAAAAACAAATTAAACCCAAACACACGACTAAGCCCGCGAGTATACAACAAACCCCAAAATGCAGAAATGTAAAACCAAGACCCCACCAAGTATGCCTAAACCACCCCAAATCCCAAAATCTGAGCCCCAAACCATTGATAGGGGGGGTTTCGGTAACCCCAACCCCTCGAAATTAGGACCCCATAACCATCATATGACAATCACAGGGTCTTAATCCTGGGGGTTGGGTTTACCTCTGAACCCTAAACCCCAAACCACATTAATCATGTTCCTGGCCTTTCCACCGTCTCCCTGACGCCTTGCAACTTTTCACCAAGACTGGTGCTACTTGTCGCCTTGCGCAAGTTCCACAGATACGGCTTGGGGGCCTAAAGTGGGTGGCTGTTTAGGGTTTTAGGGTTTTAGTAAGGGTTTGGGGTTTAAGGGCTTAAGGGTTTGGTGTTTAGGGTTTTAGGGTTAGTGGATTAGGGCTTGAGATTTCGAGCTTAGGATTTGGGGTTTAGGATGGGCAGCTGCTTGAAACAACTGAAACTAAGTTACCATTTTTAGGAAGCCCATTGATTTGCTGTATTACATTACGCCCATGTGATGCTAGCCTAACTCAAGTTCACTAACAAAACACCCTTAAACAATCTTGGTTCCTTGAAAGCCGTTGCAGGGTCTGCGCAAGTTGAGCAGATGGAAGACATGATATATAGACACTACTATTCCATGTAGAGTTAAGGGTTTAGGCAGCGTAGGGACCTGAATAAAAGGCAGAGGTGTTCTGGTAGAGTATACGACACTTACACCAGGTTACGAGGCGATATTAGCAGCTGGAACCTGCTCCTAGTATTGCCCTTAATAACCCATATGATACTCCCCTACATAACCACCTTTAAGGAGTTTAGACTATAGTTACTATAGATCCAATGACCCGGACCCTGGGTTCATGTTGAGATTTCAGGGGAATTGCAATGTAAGCGACTCCATAACTCGAATAGGGCTTTGGACTAAAATTCTACTTTACACATATAAGCCATAGTCTAGTTATAAGACTCGCCTATACAATTCCCTATATAACCCCCTGTAAGGAGTTTAGACTACAGCTCATGAAAAGGGTATGGAAGCATATAAGTGGTGATTGGTCAGACTTCCAAACTACAGCTCAGATTAGGGTTTCAGGCTTGAGGGTGTCGGGATCAGGGTTTGGGGCTTCAGGAGAAGCAGTTCGGTTAGAGGGCTTCGAGTGTGGATTTGACAGGATTTAGAATCCCTATTACTATAGGTACCCGCCCCGATTCTCGTAAACCCTCCATATAGGGGTCGATACTATTGATACTAAAGTCCTGCATGACCTTAAGTACCTTATACAAGGAAAATGCAGGATTTTTACAATCAACCATATAACGAAACACTCTAAGCCAAGCTGTTCAGTTCATTAACCATTTTTCCATTTAATTATCTTTTTTGGGGGGTGGGAGCATCTCTTAACCCTAAACCCTAAATCCACATAGATCCCTATACAACCCCTATACCCCATTTGAAGCTACCCCTAAGGGTCCAAGGACCCAAATCACAGGCTCTTAGGGCCCATATACTCTAATATTCATGGTATTTGGGCCCTAAAACCCTATTATTTGGGTCCTTGGACACTTAGGGTACCCTACATAACCGTGAGAGTATGGGGCTTCTCCAGGGTTCCTGTGAATGAGGGAGGTCAGGGGGACGGCACGGCTCCTCCCGCTGATAGGACTTAGTTAGGCTTTTGGGATTGTTTAGGAGTACTTGGAGGGTCAGGGGGACTTAGCAAGGTTAATAATAGGGATAATTGGGGTTTCTATATGGCTTATAGGGGTTGTTAACCTACTTACTAAGTCCCTCTGACCCTCCAAGTAGAGGGGCCAGTTGCAGCGAGCTTTCAGAAGAGCGCAATACGTAAGTTCGCATTAAGGGTTATTACTACTACTTGGGGATTGGGGTTTGGGGGGGGTGAGCTGTTAAAAGTTTGAGATTTTGGAACATGAGAAGTGGGACCCTAAGCAATTGTAATGTTTGTCTCGTCTAGAGGGTGTAGGGTTCAGTGTGAAAATTCACAGCAGGGAAGCCCATACCAAGAGGCCCCCCATACGAGGGGCCAGCAGCAATATCTAAGTTCTGAAGGGCACGGACCAAACTTTTCCATTTTGCCAGCCTTCAGCGAACGACAACTGTCAGCCCAGGTGAAGTGAAACCCTTCAAGCTAGTCGGCAGCTGGGCTTCCTCTAAGGCCTGGTTGAAATTGTCACCAAACGTCAATGTCTGCAGGTCGTTTGGCAACTGTACTCCTTGCAGACTCTGGAAGAAGCGCCTCCCAAGCTTCAGATTTTGCAGACAGTTCGGCAGCTGGACTTCTTGTAACCTCTGGTTGAAGAGCCTGCCAAAAGTCAATGCCTGCAAGCTGCTGGGTAGCTGAACCCCTGTGAGGCTTTGATTGAAATGCCAGTGAAATGTCAATATTTCCAAGTTGTCTGGTAGCTGAACACCAGACATGCTACGATTGAAGTTCCCACCCAGGCACAGCCTCTTCAAGCTGTTCGGGAACTGGATGCCCACCAAGCTCTGATTGAAGTTCCACCCAAAGCTCAAAGACTTCAGGCCTTGGGGTAGCTGCACCCTTTGCAGGCTTTGATCAAAACATTTGCCAAAGGTCAGAGTCTTTAGGCCGCCAGGCAGCTCTACTCCTAGCAACGTCTGGTCGAAGCTTCGGCCAAAGGTCAAGGTCTCTAGTCCTGCTGGCAAGTTCACTCCATGTAGTGTCTGGTTGTAACTGTCGCCGAAAGTCAAAGTCTGGAGGCTGCTGGGTAATTGCAGTCCTTGCAAACTTGCGCTGGTGGCCAACGTCTGTAGACCACTGGGTAGCCTTGACTGATGCTGGAAATGTAAGGGCCTAAATGACTCTAAACATCATTTCGAGGTCTATCGAGGTACCCTGTACTATACTTCCGCAAGGGTCTAGGAACACAGTATTGGCAATTTGGAACTCATCTACAAAAGAGAATTGCCCTATGGAATCTAATTAGTGCTCAGAGTACTATACATACCCATTCTTACACTGCTCAAGATCTGCTGAACCCATATTTCCGAAACCCTAAAACCTGAACCCTGTAAACCCTAGACACTAAACTGGGTTGCTGTTAAGGAACTTACTTTAAGTCACTATACTGGGGAAACCATATTAATTACAATATCTACCCATTACGGTAACTTAATTTGTTCCTTAACAGCAACCCCATGCCTTTGTATTCCCTATAAAGCCCTAGATAAATGATAATCCTAGTGTCCATTTCATTTTCCATGTTCTTTTCCATTTGATTCTCCATTATTGGCGTATGTGTTTAAGTTCCTTAACAGCAACCCAGACAATGTAAACCCTACACCCTGAACCCTAAACCTAAACCCCAAACCCCGAAACCCCTAAATCCTAAACCTTAAATGTTAAACCCTAAACCTTAAACCCTAAACCGCATTTAGCAAGGCAGCTTGGCACCATGCAGGCTCTGGTGGAAATCGCACTCGAAAGTCAGGGTTTGCAAGCCTTCCGGGAACTGAACTCGTCGCAAACTCTGGTAGAAACTTTTGCCGAATGTCAAAGTCTGTAGGGTTTGTGGAAGCTGAACGTCATCCAAGCTCTGGTTGAAGTTGTCGCCAAATGTCAAATTTTGAAGGCTGTGTGGTAGCTGTACACCTAGCAAACTCTGGTTGAAAGACTCGCCAAAAGTCAAAGTGTGCAAGCTGTTCGGTAGCCGCACTCCGCGCAAGCACTGGTCGAAACGTTCGCTCAAGATCAAGGTCTGCAGACTGTTCGGTAGGCAGACGTCCTGCAATCTCTGGTTGAAGTCGTGGCCCAAACTTAACGTCTGCAGCTTGTTTGGGAGCCGCACGCGTCGCAAGCTTTGATTGAAGCGGTAGCCAAAGTACAAGGTCTGCAAGTTTTCCGGTAACCTGACACCTTTCAGGCTCTGGTCGAAGTTGCTGCCAAATGTCAAAGTCTGTAAGCTGCTCGGTAGGTGCATGCCTGCTACGCTTTCGTTAAAACCCCATCCAAAGATCAAAGTCTGCAGGCCATTTGGCAGCAGGACCCGGTGCAAGCCATAGTCTGCACCCTTGCCAGGAATAATTGCCTTAAAGCATTGCTGTGGCTGTAGCTGCATTCCTGCCAGGGCATAGATGCAATCATAGCAGCCAGCACTCCACAGCGTTTGGTGATTTGACAAGAAGCTATCCTGGAAGTGATTTCCGATGATCAGATACTGCAGGCTTTCTGGCAGCTGGACACCAGCGAGGCTCTGGTTGAAACCGCTGCCTACAGGGGGCTCAAAAGGAGTATACATGCTACTATATTGGGGCATATTTCCTATATCCCACCTTCCTTCATCCCACCTTTTGAGCCCTTTGAGCCTAGTACCAATCTTAGAATACTGCAGGGCAGGCGCACTGAGCGTAAGCTCTGGTTGAACCATTCGCCAAATGTCAATGCCTGCTCGGGGGCTCCAGGATTGCACCCGTTTGGTCGTACCCCCAAACGGCTTTCTGAATACGATCCCCAGATAACCCTGCTATCAGCCAATGTAGTTGCCTGGATAGACCCCGTACCTTACCTCGTTTTTGGGATACCGAACTTTATGTCTCGTATCTCCTTAGCATAAGATTAGGTACCCTTGAAGCAGGTGGAGATTGGAGAATACAAAGGTCCAGGTAGCGGTGCAACCCTAAGGTCTCTGGCCTTCAGGCCATCTGGAAAGTTGACATCCACCAAGCTCTGGTTGAAATCGTCGCCGAAAGTCAATGTTTGTAGGCCGCTGGGTAGCTGTACTCCTCTGGGATGTTGCTTGGGAACTTTTGGTAAGCTAGAAGCCTACAGGAAATTATGGTATATCGTAAAACCCTAAATAAACCTCAACCCTATATACCGAAAAAACTGAATTAAATCCAAAACCCTGGAACCTTAACTCCAAGCCCCTAAACTTGAAACCTTAAGCCCGACGCACTAAACCCCAAACCTAAACCCTGAAACTTAAACCCTAAACCCTGAGACCTAAACCCTAAACCCTGAAACCTGAACCCTAAACCCTGAAACCTATAAGCCCTAAATCCTGAGCTCTAAGCCCCAAACCCGACACCCCCAACCGTGTCCTTGCAAGCTCTGGTTGAAAGCTTCCCCAAAGGTCAGGGTCTCGATGCCGCTAGGCAGCTCCACTCCGACCAAGCCTAGGCTGCCGTTAAGGAACTTCCCTGAAGGTAAGGTTTAGGGTTTAGGGTTTAGGGTTTAGTTTTTTTTTTGCAACGGCTCTTTTCCGTCTCGCAGAAACGGCCTACAGGCCAGCCGAACGGGTCCTTTCCCTTGGCAAGTCCCAAAACAAATGAACGGTCCATCTCCCAGAGATTCCATTCCGTGGGTTTAGGGTTTAGGGTTTGGGTTGTTCTCAAAATTATGGGCCCCTTTTGGCAATAGTTTATACTACGGCACCTTATATTTAGGGGTACCCAGATGGGACCCTAATTTAGGGAACTACCCACATAGGGTTTAGGGTTTAGGGCTTCGGGTTGAGGGTTTGCAGCATAAGGTTGAGGGTTTAGGGCTTAGAGTTGAGGGTTGAGGAGGGTGGGTTGACATTAAGATAGTATTAAGAAATTACCTGTACAGGATTCACTGTAGCATCGCACTACGGCAATCCAAGTTTCTTTGCTGCGAGGGTGAACGTCAATTCGGTTCTCCAACGCGGGGTCATTTTTCTTACAAGCAACCCACCCTAAACCCCAAACCCTGAACCCGCAACCCTACACCGCCTAAACCCCACACCCTAAGCCCTAAACACCAAGCCCTCAACCCTAAACCTTCAAACCTAAACCCCAAACCCTACTTACTGAAAGCTCCCATAACATCGGCCTAGAAGCCCATATCCCTATATAACCCCCTATACCCCCTTTAA